GAGAGAGGGTCAGTGGTCAGTGCCGGGAGCCCCGGATTGGCATCAAAGGTGATGTAGATCCTGGCTCCTCCTCTGATAGGCTGTGAGGCTTTGGGAGAATCACCTGTGTCTCCGAACCCCAGTTTCTTCTGAGATTGTGGGATGGTGCCTCCCTCACAGGGCCCGTGTTAGAGGGGGCATGTGGAAGTCGACAGCAAAGGGACAGGGCCGAGGAGCAGTTCTTGCTGCTGTTGCATAGCATCGTTTGAGGCTCCCTTTCACGTGGTGGGGAGGACTCGGGGGGCCTGGCACTAGTCTCTAAGACGTTACGTGATGCCTGAGAAGCCCTTTGCACGGGGCCTCCATCTCCTGCTCTGGGCTGTGCGCCTCCATGGGAGGTGGAAGAGCTGGGTTCATCCTGCCAGGCAGGTGGAGAGAGCACCCCTGTCTGAAGTTAGCACCTGGGATGGAGCTGGACAGAAAGGGCATCTCTTGTTCATTCTAGTTCTTTCTCTCACTTAACAAACGTTTAACTGGACATTTACTAAGTGCTAGACCCTGCCAGGGGGCTGCGACAAAGGTCTGCAAAGTTCCCCCAAAGCTCACTTTACAGTGGGGGCTGAGGGTGCAGTACCAAGTAAAACAAATCAACAAAGAGGACTGCAGCAAGGAATGCTATGAAGACAAAATCCAGTGATGTAAGAGAGAGACGGGGAAGGGGCTTTCTTAGGCGGGGTGTCCAGAGGCAGGCAGGGGGAGCCCCCCCAACATGGCGACAGGTGAGACCTGGCCAATGGGAAGAAGCAGCCAGCCCAGAGAAGCTGAGGGACCACTGGCCAGTGGAGACTCTCGAGGAAGGAGGAGTGCGGCCGCAGAGGCAGGGAGAGGTAGGGGAAAGGCCAGCTCTTGTTGGGCTTTGCAGGCCCTTTTAAGGAGTGTGAACTTTACTTTAAGAGCGATGGGAAGCCTTTGAAAGGATTAGTCAGGGCATGACATAATCCGGTGCTCTGGTTTAAAGGTTACTGCAGCTGCTGTGCAGAGGACGGACTGAATGGGGAGAAGAAACGTGCTGGCTGTCCATCCACCCTGGCTCCCACTTCTGCCCCAGTTACCGCTCCCCCCACCCCCCCAGGGACCACCCCTCGTCAGCTGAGGCGTTACCTGCTCTCCACGTGCCCCTATCCCTCTTCCAGACCAGGGGTTCCTGTGTGCCACAGCCCCCAGAGAGCACCCGGACCCCGGAGGCCGAGGTCCTGCTGGCTGACCCAGGCAGGCTGGGTTGGAAGCCTGCAGGTAGGGACAGTGGGCGTGGCCTGGCTGCCCTACCAGCTCCCACCAGCGTAGGGCAGGCCCCCCACCCCCACCCCACATGGGGCTTTTGAATTAGAAAGTCTTAACTTTTTCTTTTAAATGGCAGCTCTGTGTACTGTACATGGTAATTAATACATTAGCATTTATGCAAAATACCATCACAGCCGGGCTGGTATGTCAGCTGCCTTCCTGAGCTGCAAAAATGTGAGCGCCCCGAGGTACCTCAGACAGGCCCCCGCCCCTAGCAGACAGCTCCGTTTGACCCGCTCCGTTCGCTAGCATGTCTTGGGGAACGCGTCTGCATGTGTGTGCCTGTGTACGCCGGCTGGTATGTGTGCTGCTTGTGAGGGTCGGTGGGCACGTCTCTGTTCTCATGTGTTCACGCTCGTGTGCTGCCCGTGTTCATATTAGTGTGTGCCTGCGTCTGTGTTGCTGCCTGTTAGTCTGGGTACGGCTGCATAGGAGTGTGGTTTCATACATGTACATCTCTGCACTGTGCATATGTGCATTTCTGTGTGCCTATGGGCATGTCCATGAGTGGGTGCAGTTGGAACAGTGGTGTGTGCATGGAGCTACATGTCTGCACATGTATGTGCACACTTGTGTACGCATGCCTGGGTACAGGTTCGTGTGTGTTGGTGTGCATCCATGTGGGTTATGCATGTGTGTGCATACATGCACAAAGTATTTAAGTTCTTATGTGTACATAGGTGCTCCGTGGGGTCTGCTATTTGTGTGTGCATCTGTGTGTTAGTGGGGTGATGTGCGTTTCTGCACACATTTGGATATTCTCATGCTCATTCCTACAGATGTGGAAGTGTGTGTGTTTGTTGTATGAAGTGCTTGCTCAGGTGGTTCTGAAGTGAAGTTGTGATGCAGTGGAAAGAACAGCCGCCGGAAACAGTGACATCAGTGACATCCGGGCTAAACCCTGCCTCCGCCCTTTGCTCTGTGACCTGGGGACAGTCTCTCTACCTCTTCGCCCCTCAGTTCACCCGTCTGTGAACCGGGACTGATGAAACCTGCCTTTCCTGTAATAACAATGTAAACGTTCACCGGGCACTGGATGCCCTGCACCTGAGGAGCTCCCAGAGCAGTGGGAGAGACGGACCCACAGACAGGCAGTGACCAGCAAGGTTAACAGGGTGAAAACACAGGGTGTTTCGGGGACCGTTGTTCAGCTCCAAGGAGTTGATAGGGGTGGCGAGGAGCTAGGGACAGTGTCTCTGAGGAGGCGGTGGTTGGACGGAATCCTGGAGGATGAGTCGGACAGTGAAGCAGATGAAGAAGCTGAGGAGGGTGAGCCAGCGAGGGGGCGCAGACACGGAGTCGTGGCACAGCCTGACCCATGGGAAGTGGCTGGGGACCAGGAGCGAGTTGCTGGAAAGGGGGAGGCTGGAGTGGGTTGTCTGTGCGTATCCAGGGCAGTGGGGAGCCAGCGAAGGCCTTTACGGAGGGGAGGGCCAGCATCAGAGCGAAAGCATCGCTCTACCTTCTGCAGGGAGGCAGGACAGAGGCCGTATCACAAAAGGCTCTGAGTGTCAGGCTCAGGAGCACAGATTCCCTCATCTGCTTTTAAGCAGAGGAAGGGCTGGTGACTTTTGTGTTTTATAGAACTCCCCCTGGATTCAGTACCCCCTGGGTACTGAAGGCTGGATCTTGACTGAGGGAGGCCGGGGCTAAGAGAGGCCAGGGATGTGGTCTCTTGTGGCTTAGTTTGGGGTAACGGCTGTGTCGCAGATACCTCTCAGATGCATCTTAAGGAAGGGGTACCGAGCCTTTTTAAACTAAGGCATGTGCAGAGCAGGCAGAAGGGGCCCTGGCTTCGATCCTGTGCCCTGCTGTGTCTTGCCCTGTGACCTTGGCTTGGCCAAGTCAGTTAGTTTCCAGGGCTTCAGGTGGTGCTTGGGTAAGGAGACCCGCAGGATGCGATCCAGAAAGAAAAGGGGGATGTTGGGAAGGACTCTGTTTCACTCACCTCCGTGGGGGAGAGTCCCCTCAGGTCACAGGAGGGCCAGGAAGGGGGGTAACATTCTCCCTCCTTCCCTCTTCTTGTCGGGAGGGTGAGGACGAGGACAAGGACGAGCTCATGTATTTTCATGCTCAGCCTCACAGTCCCGGCTCACAGAGGCTGGGAGGCTGCTCAGGGGTGGGCTGACCTCGCCTGCGAGCAGACACTCCGCTATTGTTCAAGATGGAATTGGTCCCAGGAAGCTTGGAGCCTGCGAAAACTGCTATGAATTTTGCAAAACAGCTCAGAGGCGGTAAAACATGTCAGAAGAATCAAATTCGGAAACCCCTGTTTAGAAGCTGCGCTCTGGACAGGGTGCCTGGAGAAAGGGCGACAGGGCAGGCAGCCCGGAGTGTCCCTCCCTGGTTGCGTGGGGCGGGGGGTGCCCAGCCCGTGCAGATGGGAGAGGGCCCTGCGGCCCCCAGGCTCAGCTTCTGTCCTGGTCATCTGGCATCCCCATCTTTCCCCAATGTATGTCTACTTTTTTTTCTCTTTGAAAGCAGCTTTACCATTTTGTAAAAAAAGGATACATATGCTCATTGCAAAAAATTCAGACAATGTGGAAAAGTTCAAAGAAAAATGTGAAAATCACCTCAGAATTTGCCATCCAGAGCTAACCACGTACCATTTCGGTGAATGTCCTTCCAGACGTCTCTCTGAGCGTAAAGATGCACAGACAGGCTCCACGCTTGCAACGCCGCCCGGAGCAGGATCGGCCGGCACCTGCCGCGCGTCCCCTGTCTGGTCCCCTGCTCAGCAGCACGTCACGGGTCCCTTCCTGTCAGTGCGTCTAGATCCACCTTGTGGATTTGACGCCCGAGTTACACGTATGGCTGACCCTCCCTTTGCCTGCCCAGTCCCCCGCTGATTGCTCTGCTCTTGTAAACATCCCTGCAGTCCACGTCAGTGTACATATATCTTTGTGCCTGCCTTCCTTCCTTCCTTCCTTCCTTCCTTCCTTCCTTCCTTCCTGCGACAAATGCTTATAGAGTGTATTCTATGTACCATCCCGGGGATGGAAATGATGAATAAAACAACATGGTCAGTCCCTGCTTTAATCGTGATTCTGATGCAGTGGGAAGGCAGGACATCCAGCCCACCCCCCCAGCAGGGCAGACAGCAACTTTCTGCAATGGGTTTATGGCTGAAGCATTTACCCACATAACTATCCAATGAATAGGGGACACAATGACAAAGGAAAAGTACCCATAGTATGAAAGACATGTATAGGCTATGAGAGAAAAGGAAGGTATCTTAGACTTGAGAGGCAAGGAGGACTTCTCTGAGGAGGTGACACTGAGGTTGTCAGATGAGCGTCCAAGAGGCAGGGGGTGGAGGCAGAATGGGCAGGCATAAGGAGGAACTGAAAGGATTTCACTCAGAGGGAGAAGTACTTGGATTATTAACATACAGAAAATTCCTAAAAATGAAATTGTTGGGCCAGGGTAAGCAGAGTTTGCATTTAGTCATTCATATATTGTAAATTGCTCTCCACAAATATTTTACGAATTTGTGATCCCATAAGGAATAAACGGGGGGTTGTCACGAAGACTCAGTAAGAGTAGTGTGGAGGGCTGGTCGCTGCTGTTGCCATTATTATTATTATAGTTATCTTTGCCAATCTAATTGGTGAAAAATGATATCTCATCTTTGTTTTTAACCAATGTGTCTCTTTTTGACTCTGCAGGAAATTGAGCTGTTGCAGGGAAATGAATTATCTTTCTTTCTCAAGTCACCTTTGACAGACACCTTCCTGTGCCCCTTGGAGAGGCAGGAGATATCCAGCATCCCTGACTGGTAGTCCCATTCGCCCAGCAAAAGCCCTGGGACTCAGAGGTGGCTCCTAATCCTGCCTGGCTCTGGGTTTCCAAAGGCAGCTGCCAATCAGAGAGTAGTATGGCTTAAAAATCTGTGTAAGATGGGTATCCTGCCTGTGGGGAGGGACTGACAGGGAGGTGGGGGCCCTGGAAGCAGAATCCACATGCCATTAGGGGTGTTTAGAGATCCCAGGTGCTCCTGGACGATATTAATGCAGCTATATGAATATTAACAGCATACCATTAATATTAATGACAATAATAAACAAGTGTGAGGATTATTTTTAAAGAGGGCTGCTGCTCCAGCTGTTGCCTCCCTTCATTAAAAGGCTTCTGAGATCCTCTGCCTTCCTCTCCCCAGACCAAGTGCAAGACTCAGTGGCATCTTCATGACCTCCGCTTGGGCAGGGACTGAACTAAAGGGCACTTCTGGCGCTTTGGATCGACGGAGAATCAGTGCAGAAGACCCCAACCCGTGCAAGGTGCTTTGGGCCCTGTGAGCGGTAGCGGCCAAGGAGGGATGAATCAGCTCGTGTGTGGGCAGCCAGCTGTGAAGACTCCACTTCTGACCCTCTCTCTTGGGCATAAGGCCCAGCTGTTTACATCCCCAGTGGAGTGTGGAGGGGGCTTGAAAGGGGCCAATCTCTTGCAAAGGTGGCTGGAGGAATTACCCTGCTAAAGTGGTCATGAATTATAGAAAGGAAGAGGGGGGAGGAAGGCCCAGAATATCATATGTGTAAATAAACCGGAGTGGCGGCCAGACGGAGCAGCCAGCCACGGAGCCTCCGTGCCCACAGCGCCCCTTCTCCTGCTGACCCACTCGTCCCAAGTACTACAGCCGGTCGCTCACAACCTCCTTCTTCAAAGGGTTTGTTAATAAGTCAATGACGGAACATCTAAAGGGGGAAAATATTTCTCTTTATAGTAGGAGATAATTGTCCCAGGGAAAAAAAAAACAACAAACCTTTAATTACAACTCACATGGAGAAAGCCTGATTTGTGGGCCGAGCCCAAATGCTGAGGAGCTGGATGTAAAATATTTGTAATATTTAGGGAACCTAGAGTTTTACATAAAAGTAAACAGCATTGCCCGAAGGCACAATTTCCAGCAACACAATAAAATGTGCAGTGAATTTATGGCGGCCATCCATTAGCTCTTACCAAGGCAACGCCGCCCCTATCTGTCGTCCATCATTATAATAGAGGGTTAATGCACCGAATTTACATAAAAAAGTCATATTGTCTGCATGAATTATTTACACTCGAAGCTGTTTTTACAGCTTGGTTTCAAGCTGGATTCTGGGAGAGATTCTGCCAGTAAATTACTCTGTGGAGACCTGGTTCTATAACTGTGCGGAGCCGGCAATGAAAAGAAAGGAAAATGGGCAGGCCCTGGCGGGTCGTTGGTGCTGACGCCTCTCGGGCGGGGGCTGGAGGCAGCCGTGGAGGCTTTGGGAGGCCGTGGGACCTTGCTGCAGGTGGGGCTCCATCTCTGGGCCTGTGGCTTCCCGGTGGCTGCCCAGCAGTACATGTGGGCAAAGCTGGTTTGGGCCCAGGGAACCAGAGAGATCTCCAAAGGTGGCCGAGGGCTCTTGGTGGCTGAAGCCAGAGGTCTTTTAGGGATCATGGTCCTAGGGAGGGAGAGGAGCTGTTGTGTTTGTTAGAGCAGGAGCCTAGCTCAGCAGTGTGAGCATTGTAACCTCCTCATCCCCATTGTGCAGATGGGAAGACTGAGATCTCAAGAAGCACCTACTCAAGAAGCAGGAAGCCGGTGCACCCAGTGGGCCTGGGGAATGTGAAATGTGTAGACACTTCCGACTTGGGCATCCTGTCTGTGGGGGAGGGTGGGGTTAGGATGGGGTGTCCCTAGGAGGACATCCCGAGTCCTGTCTCAGTTCTCGTGTTTTCTAGGACCTCGAGTTGAAGGCAGTTTTAGTGGTGGGGCTGGGATGCGCTGTTTTGTGGCACTGGGTTCTTATATTCTTTTCCCTTTGGAAGGGGGTCCTGGGGAGAACTGCTCCTGCTTGTAGGTGACAGGGAATTATGGGAGGCTGGTCATTGCAGGGGAAACGCATCCGGATTTTTAATTCCATGCCAGCTGTGTAGACCTGGGCAACCCTTCTGGGCACTCAGCTTCCTCATCCATCAAATGGGATTTCTATTCCCTCCTCTCCCAGACTCTTTCTGTCCCTCAAAATGATGAGAGGCTCAGAGGTGATAACATGTCTGGGAGGTGTATGACGTGTTACCAACAAGGTTACGGGTGACAGGGCAGCAAAGGGAAGTCTTGAGGTTAGGGTGGATAAAGAGACTTGGAGTGCAAGACAGACAGATGGAGAGAGAAGGCCAGGCATTCAGACACAAAGACATAAAGGAATCCCAGACAGAGACAGGGAGAGACAAAGAGCAAACACACAGAAACACAGAAACGAGAAGAAAGGAAAAGAGACGGAGAGGAGGGCGGAGGTGGCTGTCACAGGGAGAAACGTCAGGCAAACTCGGGGTGCCAAAGGCTCTGACTTCCTGGAGTTCCGAGGGTATTTCCCTGGCCACTGAATAGCTTGGCAGGGCAGGGTCTGCCTTGGGGCCAGGGCTACCTCTTGCCTGGACCCTCTGTCTCTATCCAGGCCAAGAAGTGCTCAGGCTTCCTTCTGGCCTGTGGGTTCCTCTGCTTTTCTGTAGATGAGGAAGCCGAGCTGGGTGCCAGCCCCCTCCCTGCCCCCACCCCCAGCACTGGGACAGGCACGTGACTGCTGCTGCACTCTGGGGTCTCCAGCTCCTGGAACAGTCCTCGCGGGTCCCAGGGGCCTGGAGACAACAAATGACTCCCCACTGACGGGTTGCTGGCTGCACAGCGCAGATAATCACGTAAGGCCAGGGAACCCCTCCTGCCCGTGCTGGCGTGATTTAAACCAGAACTTTGCTTTCATCCCCTGGAGAAGCCAGATTTAGATGATAAATTTCCCTGTCTTCCTGGGAGCATGCACACACACACACAGACACACACCTGCGTACGCACATGGAGGTGCTCACACCTGGCAAAGTCCCCTGTGTGAATACCCGCATACGTGAGTGTCTGGCCCATCTGCAGACCACATGTGTACACACTCACATGTGATTCTCTTGCATGCATGTACATGCCACCCAAGGAACTCCCGGCTGCAGGTTAGGGCGGAAGGAAAACGTGGTGGTGGCCAGAGCAGCTGGGACCTGTGGGGTGGGTGGGGAAGGGTGATGTGGACAAGCAATGCCGAAATTTGAAGAAGCCCTTCAAACCTCACTGCACTGTGTTGCCTGGAAGATGGGAATGAGTGAATGAGCGAATGTGTGTCTGCATGTGAGTTCCTGCGCGCAAGGCTGTGTGCTTATCTGTGGGTGTTCACAAGCGTGGGCGCCTTTGCTGGGTGCCGAGGGTGATGGTCTGTGGGCGGGGCCGGCCTGGAGTTAGGCCCACCGTCAGCGGCCTGCTGCTGGCCTTGGGGGGGGCTGGTGTCTCTCCAGTTCAGTTCCTTCTGGCTGCCGAGGGTCCTGCCAGCTCTGACTCTCCAGTCTCTGTGTGTCATCTGGAGGGTGGGTTTCTCTTACGTCCGAGTGAGCTGGGCTTGGGTGTGTGTGTGTGTGTGCCGAGTGTGCCTACATGCATGCTCATGCCTAGGTGTGGTGTGTGTATCTGTGTGTACAGGTGTGGGTGTGTTTGTGTGAGTGTACTCTTCATAGCAGAGAGGATGTGCATGTGCCCATGTTGGTGTTGAGTCTAGTGTGTGTGTGATGGTATGTGTGGGGACCATCCTGTGGGTGTGTTTTGCTCAGTGACAAAATTCAAGAAGACAGGAGGCCATCCTTGCTTAAAATCGCGCCCCTCCCCACTTCTTACTCCCTCTCGGCTTCAATCTTCTCCGTCACGTTGACCACCACGAACACACTGTTTTTTCAGAGTGGACCCCCTTGTCCAGGGGGCCACATTCCAAGGTCCCAGCGGGCGCCTGATGCCCCGGGCAGCACCGAAGCCTGTGTGTGCTGTGTCTTTTCCTGCACGCAGGTACGCACTGTGGCTTGCCCTTGGCCTGTCTGAACTGCCAGCATTGCTCCTCTTCCACTTTGGGGCCACCGTGAGGTAGAAGAGTGTGACTTGAACACGAGCACCACGGTGACCAGTTGGTCTGCTGACCGCAGCTACTGGCAGCGCGTGCGTGCAGCGTGGGTATGCAGGGCAAAGACAGGGGAGATTCAAAACACCATGCAATTTGAAACGTGTAAGTTGTTTATTTCCGGAATTTTCCATTAAATACTTTTGGGCCATGACTGACCACGAATAACTGAACCTGTGGAAAGCAAAACCTCAGATAAGCCGGCGCGGGGGGCGGGTACTGTATCTATTTTGCTCAAGGTTTCTTTTTCCCTGCCAGGGTGTGAGCTCTGTGCGGGCAGGAATCGCAGCTGTGTTGTCCGTGCCTGGACCCCGCCCAGGGAACCGCCTCCGGCGCACAGCACAGCGGCATGGCGGATGTTCGGTAAATGCTTATGAATGAGTGAGCAAATGAATGAGTGAGTAACTTTAGCACCTTCTTCAAGAGTTCCCTTAAGTGCTGCTGTTTTCCCCTAAAAAATGTGGTTAGTCATAAAACACCATTTGTGGACCGGGGGAGTTGATCTCACCAGCGTGCAGAGGAAGTAGGGAAAACGAGGTGAAAGGGAAGGTGACCTTTAAAGAGAGAGAGTGCTGCTTACCTTCCGTGGCGTTCTGAGGGTGGGAGAGTAGACTTTAGAGTGTCAGGAAGGGAGGTGGAGTCGGTAGAGTAGAGATAGGAGGGTTAGACGGTCCTTGGGGCGGGAAGAAAAAATCGCACTGGATGGAAGAGGCGGTGGGGTCCCGTGATCATTCCGCTGACTTGGTGCCATTTGTCAGCCTCCCTGTCATGAGTGCCGAGTCCATGGCGTTTGGAATCTTCAGTGGGTCTTCGGGTGTTTGCGCCAGGGAGTATCTGACTTGATGCAGGAATCCATGGAGAGCCGGGCCGCCCCATACGGCGGGGGCTGTCGGCCACACACCCGAGGCTGTCCTGCACCCTAAGTGTCACTTTCTTAGTGAGGCCTCAGCCGCCCTACTTAAAATTGCTACCTGCCCCTCCCAAGTGCTCTACCCCCTTACCTTGTGGTATGGTTTCTTTTGCCCTTACCCCCCTTCAGCGCACTAAATGATTTAGTGATTCACGTCTATTTTGTGCTGTTTTCTCCCTGTCGGAATGAGAGGCTTCACCAGGGGTCGAGCCATCGTCTGGTTTGGCCACTGGTGAGTCCCGCGTGCCTAGAAGTGTGTCTGGCATGTAGCAGGTGCTTAATCAGTATTTATCGCATGAGTGGGTGGGTTTCTGTCTGTGGAGCGAGGGCATGAGGGGACTTTTGAATTTTTATTTTTTAATGAACGGCCTTGTAAAGCGAGTGCTCGTGGTGGTGCGACTGGCGAGGGCTGTGTTTTGACTGTGGGGTGACTGCGTTTGGGAAGAGAGCGAGTGTGCTCCGCAGCCCTGTCCTCTGAGGCCCGGGAGCAGTTCTCTGATCGGGGCTTCAGGGACTGGGCTCCCTGCCCGGACGTGGTTGAGGGTTTGCGAACAGATCCACGGGTGGCTTCCTTCGGAGTCGTTGGGAATCCTTTCCTTGGCTGGCTGCCCCCTTGGTGGCCACAGGCCTGAGCCCCAGCCCTGGCAGCTCCGTGGGGTCACTCCCTCCTTTCCCCACGGGCAGACCTGGGCCCCAGGCTTGGGAAAGGGTGAAGACTGGTGGTCAGTGGTGGGCAGCCATGCTGGGTGGCTGGATGTGTACTCCAAATACTCTGGACGCACAGTCTTGATTGAGAGGAGGCTTTGGGTGCTTCTTGGGCGGGTGGGGAGCCTGGCAACTGGGGGTCTAGGAGGCAGTGGGTGGTTCAGAGGCATCAGGGTCTGCAGCTGGTCACTGGGTCTGATGAAGGGCTGGGTCCAGGGTGGCCTGCTGCTCAGGAGTCAAGGGCCCAGGTGTCAAGAAGCTTAGGACATGGCTTCAGAGGTCAGCCCCCTGATCCCAGTCTTCAGGGAGCAGTGGGGTCCGTGCCTCAGTCCAGTCCCTTTCTATGTGGAGGCGGTGGTCACAGAGCTGCTGGGGGATGGGGAGTGGCCATCCCTGCAGATCACAGTATCGGGACCCAAAGGTGCTCCACCAAGTGGACTTCGGGCTGAGGTCCGTAAGGCAGGTGCAGGAGGGCCAGAGGCAGAGGCCCCTCTAGGCCAATATTTAGGAAATAATGCCTAAGGTTGAGAGTTTGGTGTTCAGGGTCAGACAGAGCTCTCATTTAGCTTCTACCTTTTCAGCTGTGTGACCTTGGAAAGGCTATTTAACCTTTGAACCCCAGTGTCCTCCTAGGCAAAATGGGCTACTTTTTATTTCATAGTGGGACTGAAAGGATTAAACTGTTATTACTATTGTTAGTATTTTACTTAAAAAACCCCACACTGATCCAGGAAAGGAAGACTGCCTTGACAGGAATCCACATACTAAGGACCCAGGGTTGTGGCTGATGTCGAAGTTGTGTGGCACCCGTGATGCTTGGAGGAGAAGACAGTGACCCCTGGAGCTAACGTGGGCTGACCGAGGCCAGGTGCCTCTTCTCTGTCCTCAACAGCCACGGGTGGTGGGTGAAGAAACTGAGCTTGAGTGGAGAGGAGCAGAATCGATTTATTGAGCACCTACTGTGTGCTGGATATACTTCGATACATTGTCTAATCTTCACAAGTTTGTGCATTAAACCTGACTGTCTTCATTTTGCAGATGAGCAGTTGAATCTCTGGGAAGTCAAGTGACTGGCCCAAGACCAGTGCAGCCGGGATCCCAGCCTGGGCTTATTGGATCCTCTCTGTGATATCATGCTGCCTCCTAAGACACAGGACAGGGTTTCTCATGACTCCTGAGGACATGATAGTGGCCCTTAGGGTGCAGAGGGGCCTCCCATCTGGCTGAACAGTAGCCATGGAGTATTCACATAAGTGGAACCAGGTCAGTCTGTGAAGGGCTTTAGCAGCTGCTGCGGGGCTCTGCCTTCTACGCTGTTCTGACCAATACATGCCAAGTTTCCAGGAGAAGACATAAGGAGTGGGGGCAGGCCTATAATAGTAGGACATGGTAGGACAGAGAAAAAGTCAGAGGGCAGAATGAGGACCCAGAAGGATCTCAATGGGCTGGATTGACAAAGTGCTGAAACGTCACAGGGATAAATGGTGGGACCCATCTTGGCTACAGGAAAAATTGTAGAGAGGAACAGCAGCTCATGAGAGAAAGATTTAGTAGTCATGGCCCATTAAGTTCAGTATGAGTCAGTGGGATACATCAATAGAGGTATGAGGTTTTCCACAAAGGAGTGGGGCCACCATCCTGGCCTGGCCTGCTCTCTGCCATGGGGTAGTCACTATTGTTTGTATTTGAAGGTCATGTGCACTTCTGTTTTTTTCAGTTCTTCCTCTGTTTTTTTTTTTTTCTCTTTTGGTGGGGGGTAGTTCTTAGAGGAGCAGAGCCCTTCTGCAGTTCGACCCTTGGATTCCATCCAGAGCAGCCCTCTAACATGACATCATCGAAGGAGAGAAAGAGGTTGCAGATTTTCAGAACTTTTGTTTGAGCAGCAAGCCCTGGATCCAATCTTTATGTCACACTGCCCTTATTTGGGGGAGATGGAAGTGCTGGTCCCTGAATATTCTGAAACTGGGAGAGGTCCTGGTCCCCTTGGCCACCACTGGCTAGGTGTATCCCACACCGCCCCCCAACCCCGTCTCAGTGCCCTTAACCCGGTGGTCAGTGGTTGGCCAGGGCCTGGCAGGGCTGCTTCTCCCGTGTTGGAGACCGGTAGGCACAGCAGGCCTTGCAGTTGCTCCCAGTGGGGCTGGATCCCCACATGAGCTGGGGTGTCACCTGCCAAGCTGCATTCAGCACAGGAAGCGAGTGCCTGGCTCAAAGGTGTACTGCTTAATTGGGAGGTTCTCTTCCCCCTGAAACGCACTTCTGGCAGCTGCAGTGAAGGGAAGCTGTTGAGCTTCCCTCTCGTGCCAGAATCACAGCCACTTCTTCCTGAGAAAGAAGCAGGGCTGAAGACAGTTTTACTCGTTAAATACTTCCTTTCCTCTTAAATCTGTTTTTGCAATTTTTTTTCACAAACGGAGAAGTAAACGGATGATACTGAAATAAGCGAGGCATTTGTGATAGGAAGGTTAAAGCATGTTGCTGGGGGTGAGGACTGGGGTTGGATGCGCCCCCTGCTTCTGCACACAGGCTGCTCACAGCCTGCTGAGGGTGGGAGTAAGGGAAGTGGTCACGCCTCTGTCACTTCCCAGCCCACAGCGGCTGTCATCTCCAAGTGCGTTGGGGATGCTGTTGGGAAGGGAACGAATATATGTTTATTAAGAGCCTACTAAGTGCTGGGCCTGAGATATAGGTGAACTCATTCAGTCCTCATAACAACGCTGGTGGGGACTGAACTCATTCAGTCCATTTTTCAGATAAGGAAAATTGAGGCTCAAATGGATTCAGGTCAACCAGTCAGGGCTGTACAGAACTGGGATTTGAACCTCCATTGACTGGGCCTCAGACGTCACCCTCTTTTCACTATACTTTGTTACCCTGAGCAGTTATGTATGGAGCTGGGGGTGTGAAAGGAGGAGGAGGCAGAGGAAAACAAAGAAGATGTGGAGACATCAGCCAGCTCTGAGGAGTGGACATCCTACCTGGAGAGATGAAACAAGGTCCTGATGGCTGTGAGTGAACTGAGCCCCAGTTACTGGGTTCTAATAAATATGGGGGGTTTGGGGAAGGGTGTGGGGCATGGATGGGTTTGGTTTGATAACCAGGATGGGCTCCCTGGAGGTGGAGGGCCCTGGCAGTTGAATAAAGGTGAGGGAATGGCCTCACTGCAGCCATGGCAAAGGCAGGAAAGGCGAGAGCCTGGCTTGCGTGTGAGGAGATAAGTCAGGGTGGGCAGGGCTGGTTGTGGTGAGGATGTAAGTGTTGCAGTGGGCGGGTGGGTGGGAAGGTGCGGGGGTTGTCAGGTTGAAGAGCGTGTTGCAGAGAAAGAGCCCCGAGCTGGAAGGCAGGTGTCTGGGTCCTGTCCTGGCACTGCCACTGACTTGCTGCGCAATTTGGGGCAGGTCCCTTTCCCTCTCCGGGCTTTAGATTTTCTGTCTATAAAATGATGAAGTACAGGATTCCTGATCATCCTTACAGGGTCCCATGAAGAGAGAAGGTGACCGTCAAATCCAGAAGGCCTTCTTAGCATTAGAATAATGAAATGTTAGTGCTAAAAGGAATCATCTATTGAACCATCTTAATTTACATCTTAGAGGATATGCAGGGAAGGGAGATGGGAGAGGGGAGAAAAGGCATTTCAGGCAAAGGCTATACAGCAAGAGCAAAGGCACAAGTGGAGGCAAGACACTTGTTTGCTGGTGTTGAAGAATAAATAACGTGGGTGGAGGGAGAGCTAAGTGATTGAACAGGCGAGGGAGGTGCAGCCAGACCCGGGAGGACCAAGGGGCTTCGATTCCATCCTCTGGGGCGTGGGAAGCCATTGAAGGGATGGGATGCACTCAGAGGGGCAGTTCTGAAAGATGACTTTGGCAGCTTCTTTGATGATGAACTTGACAGGGTCTAGAGATGGGTCCCTGTGCAGGGACGAGTGCGGGAAGACCAGTTAGGCAGCTCTGGTGTCAGCATGGCGAGAGCTGGTGACCGTCCGAGGCGGGCAGCAGAGTGGGTATGCGGAGGACAGCATGGGTTCCAGGGGAGCCAGGAAGGGGAATAGCTAGCACCTGGTGATTGATTGAATGTGGGGGGTGAGGGGCGGGGGGAGTCAAGGACGCCCAGGTTTCTGGCTTGGTGATATTCGCCAAGACAAGAAACACAGGAGGAGGGCTAGGTTTTGTGGGGGGCAAGCTGATGAATTCAGTTATGGATTTGGTGAGTTTGAGGCATCAGTGGAACATGTACGCGATGTTTTTTTCTTTCATTTAGTCATTCATTATTTATTGAGCACCTACTATGTGCCATACACAGCTGGACCCCGCCCTCCTAGAGCTGTCCATTTGGAGGGCATTCAGAAAATCTGCCTGAGCTGAACCCCAATCTGCTGAATGCCTACCCACTGGTTTTCTTCTGCCCTGTAGGACCTCTCGGGGGTCTCCGGTCCTTCAGAGATTAGAAATCAGTGACTGTGTTTCCCACAACGCCTCTGGTTCAGGGAATATGGAGCTGTGGAGAGAATGGGAACTTCAGGAAATTGCGAAGAAATGCAGTTCCGCCCGAGTGCCTTTCTGTGTGGTCGTGTTTGTAAGTGGGTTTAATAAAGCCTCTCTTCCAGGCGGTGGTGTGCTGGAGTGGGTGCCTGCTGGCTTTTCGTTTGGACATTCCATGTTAACATTGGTTTGAAGTGTACGGCATAGTGTCAGGCATGATTGTCACCCACAACATGATTCCCCTGTTACGTCTTGTACCCCACCCGGCACCATACGTCATGATTACTGTGCTATTAACTGCACTCCCTCTGCTGTAGTCCTGTAGAACTGACTGAGGGCATCCCTTCGCAGCGCCGTGTCCAGTGACATCCCGGCGGTAGCTCGCAGTTGGCCGAGGTGGGAGGATCGGCACCACAGACAATGGCAAGTGCTGTCCGTCAGGGCTCGCTGCTTCCTTCAGATTCTGGCCGGTGAGCGTTTGCTGGCAGGCCGCCGTGTGCACAGTTAGGATTAGCACCGGGGGTGTTGAGCGCCTGCGTATGCACACACAGTAGGTACATCGTCGTGCGACCACCTTCTCCTTCGACATTTTCCTTGTATGCAAAAAAACTCTATTGTCTCATTTGTTCAGAGAAACAACTTCCCTTCAGCCAGGGACTGTCCCCTCTCTTTCCTCAGATGACGTGGTTCCAGCGAAAGCTGCCATCTTTTCACTTTCTTTGGCCTCGACAGAGGGCCGAAGTCAAAAGCACGAGGATTTTGGAGTCTTACGAATGCAGGCTTGAATCTTGGCTCTGCCTCCTGCTGCCTATGTAATAACCCTGGGCAAGTTATTTAATCACTCCGAGCCTCAATTAAGCCACCTGTAAACAGAGGATGGCCATGCCTCCCTCATTAAGTTGCCATGAAGATGAAGTGAGGTAATGGGTATGTGGGTGGGCAAGGACCTGGCATTGAGGTGGCAGTTTCAGTGAAAGCTTGACCAGTGTTGGCCTCCTCCTAAAAAGTCCGGCGTGGCCTTGGGAGACAGCTCTGACGATGCGGAGGGCGGTGTGGGGGAGGGAGGAATTAGGGCTGCATCCTTGGGAGAGATGTTTCCTGGTGGAACATGTAGGCCGGGAGAGGCTGTGGGCTACAGGACCCTCCAAATGTATTCTGAGTGCGGTGGAGGGGAACTCCCCAGGCCGCAGTTCACCTGCAGATCAGCAGATAGACTCCTCTCATCAGCTCGGCTTGTGGCTTTCTGGGGCGGCCGCGGCAGCCGGGGCTGAGCTGATTTACCACCCCAGCCCCAAGCAGATTAAATCACCCAGAGTCATTTGAATTTTACCCGGCCTTGTCACACAAATCTTAGAAACTGCTGTCTGGCAAGAAAACTTTGTACTTTTTGGAGGAAGTATCAGAGCTCTGGAAATTGAGGTGAAGTAGGAAAAAGAAGGTGGTGCTGGGGGTGGGGTTCTGCACCTTCAGGTCAGGCCTGAGTTGGGGAGTGGACAAGGAGCAGGGAGAGAGAGAGAGGACTTGAGAGAACTTGTAGAGGCCTCTGGGGCAAAGTCATCATGTTGTCTCTGGCTGTGTGACAAAGGGCAAGTCGCTTAACCTCTCTGAGTCTCAGACAATTGTGACGGTCAAAAGGACTGGCTTGTATAAAATGTTTTAATCAGTTCTGTGATTACTAATTGGGCAGAATAGACAAATTATTATGTAAAGAAGTTACATATGGCCGTGGTTACCATGCGTTGAGCAGAGAGTAAGATCTCTGGAGCTAAAGGGAGCAAACAGGTTGTCGGAGGTCTGGGGCTTGACTCGGGGCTTAGAGACAGCCTAACTCTTAGGAAAGTGAAGCAGGAGGGATTGTAGTGTAACTGAGGTTGTCAGTGTCCCATCCAGCTCCAGCAGTGAGTGTGTGTGGCTCCGGGGAGGAGTCTTGATTGGTTCAGCCTGTCAAAATAATCCACCCCCCTCCACCTTGGCACCTTGGTTGATTGTAAACCAATCGGTATGCAGATTCCCCTGGTCATAGGGATTGGTGTAGATTGGCCCAATCAGACAGAAGCTCAAACTTCTGTTGGATGGCCGGAGAAAGACACCCAATCTCTGTCTATATCTGAATGAAGAAGCATGTGGTCCTAATTCCTGGCAGGCACTGAGTGACTAGGACACAATATAAAATTACTGTCAACACAGGGAGGCGGGGAGAGCCCGGGAAAGCACAGAAGCCTGGCATCCCAGTCCTGTTCAACCTGCACCTGGAGCCTGTCGCATCTGGACTATTTAGTTAAGGGAGTTAGTAAATCCACTTTTAAAACCAGTTAGGACTTCATTTTTGTGTTCATTGCAATAAAAAGTTGGTAGAAGGGCTGATGAGGGCTCTGTGACCGTGAGCAGGGGAGGGAGACCTGCGAGGTATCAGGTGGCCATTAGTGAGGAGAGACTATCTCGGCTGCAGGAAGGGGCAGGTAGGGGTGTGTGATGGGCAGGTGCAGCGGGCGGCTACAGGAAGTAAGGCTAGAAGGAAGTCTGTGGTTGAGTGACGAAGGGCTCAGACGCAAGCTTGAGAATTTGGACTTGATTCTGTCGGTAATGGGGGATAATCAAAGATGGTGAGCAGCAGACAGGGAGGGATAGAGCAATGTGAACAGAAGTATTTTGGGAAGATCAACCTAAGAGTAGGATATAGATTGAGTTGGAAGTAGAACTGGGGGATGAAACTTAAATATTATCATTTACTGAGACTGTGCATAGTGTATGCATTATCTCAATCCTTACAACAGCTCTGCTTCTTATTTTTTAAAACTGTGTTTCAAAGGCCTTGAGTAATGTGACCAGATCATACAGTTAGTAAATGCTGGTCAGGACTAGTAAACACAGATCCTCTGACTTCAAACGCCTGTATTCCAACTCCTCACATCTGTGATAAAACAGGTGACAAATCGTCATGGGCCGGAACAGTGGTCACAGGAGTGGACAGGTGATTGGAATAGGAGTGATTAGAATAGTGGTCACAGGAGTGGAAAGATGGATGACAGACAGTGGGCTGGAGAACCCCTAGTTGTATTATTATTAGAGTAAGAAACTAGACCGGGGTCACTGTTGTTATCAATACTTAAAAAAGACTTTTCCTAAAGGGCTAGATGTTGCAATTGGACAAGAAGATGAAATAGAAAGTGTAAATATTGGGGGGAGAACAGCAAATAATCATAGGTTTTTGATAAGATGATTATTTGTCTAGAAAACCCAATTTCCCAAAAACAATTAAAAAAGTTTTATGAAATGGCCAGTAACAAAACAGTGAACAAAAACAAATAGCTTTTTTATTTATAAAATGACTCTCTAAATGGTAGAAGAAAGGGCCTCATCCACGGTATCAAGAGTAAAACAATAAATAGCCCCAAATACCTGCAAATACACTTTATAATAAATGTATAAAATTTACATGAAGAAAACCAGAAAATTTTTCTGAGGTATGTGAAAGACTTGAATAAGTCTGACACACACCTAGTTCTTGGGTGGAAAGATT